TTAGACGACCCTTTCTGTTGATGACATATTTCTTTTCACTATTTCACGACTATACATACGACTGGCAGGGTACATAGATGTATTTTTTCATTTCATGATTTGGGCTACCATTAAAGGTAGGGTAAACTTCATACAGTATTAATTCTGCTATATCCTTTACGCATCTGACCATGGGTATTTCAGTAGACTGTATTGCATATATGATCAAGAGACATACAATTGATGTACGCCACAGATAGGATTTGACGCCGAACTTGAAAAGGGTAGTCTCGTCGTGAGAGTTGTGGTGGAATGTCATTTACATACTAAAATAGGAAAGATCGGAGAAAATGTACTGTATTCTGTTTGAGGAAAGTGCTCCCAGTCGCCTTACACTGTATTAGTATTACCCAGCACATCTCCTCGTCGCTGCTGTGTAAGGCGACTGGTCACGAGTCTAGCAGTTGTGTTTGATACCGATATTAATATTCCTCAGAGACTAGAGTCCAGACTCAGGTTGAAGACATTATCACGCACGTGATCGCGTTGCCGTTACCCAAACCGCACAAACGCGTCCGTGCTTGTCATAAACGTATCCCCAACGATGAGTTATGATTATAGCTTCGGTATGAACTGAAGCAAGATTCAACGCAGATCACTTATATTCTCTAGGCACCGAGGAAGATTGTTCACTTGTACCCCCAGGTACCCTTCAAAATCTCGCGGCAGAAAAGGAAGCTGAGAAGGCGGCAAACTGTGCTAGGTTCGTCAGTTATGTGTTCGGCTCTTATCGTATCCTCTCACATGTTATGCAGAATCTTGACAGAAAGTAGGTTTCCGGTCAATGACATTGCATGGTGCCACTGAGGCGACCAATGATCAGCTTTCGGTCATGCAGCGTACAAGGGGAAGCAAAAGGAAATTGTCGAGGCCGCTATTCACGGTGAGTCATGGCATAATTGTGTTAAAGCAATTAATCATCTGCCATACAGGATTGGATGTCTTTGTATTAGCACCGACGGGAATGGGCAAGGTATTTGCAAATGACTCGGAATATCAACAGATCGTCCATTACATCTTACAATCTACAGAGCCTGTGCTTTCAGATTCCAGCAGTCGCAGATAATGTATGCTTTTAAAACCACTGCTTGACAGGAGCTGACTTCGTCATAGTTCGGCATCTCCATCGTAGTTTCGCCATTATTGGGTCTGTCAAACCTGCCAATTGAGGTTGGTTTAATGAACTGACCCATTACTCCAGCCTTGATGAAAAACCGTATGTTGCGTTCCTGTTTGTCTTTCCATCTGACGCTGGACCGGATTGTACAGAAGTGTCGAGTTTGCGCCGCAAAGGACTCCCGGCGGTCTCTTGGACATCGGACACACCGAAGGGTGAACGAGACCAGGTATTGCTACTGCTCTTGTATATTCTGAGTTTACTGAGTTGCGTTCCATAGATCGTTGAAGACCTCGAATCAGGGAAACCACAAACTCGTCTTCTATATAGTGAGTTTGCTTAACGCGAGAGAGCATATGCAACGGGAGCTGATCAGAATTTCGAGCAGCCACACCTGAAAAACTGTGTACGCGTGAAATGACACGTCTTCTTGAAATCGTTTATGCCGAAGGCGAACTCAACAGACTGGTTGTGGATGAGGTGGGCACTGTCTGCGGACAGCGTGAAAACCGCTCATTCATTCATTCACAGGCTCACTGCATCTCTGTGGGCATCGTAGCACTTCTCACTTTCAGAACTTACTAACAATAATCGTCTCCGCAGGAGTGGGGCCACGACTTCCGTGAGGAATATCGCAAGTTGGGTTCTTTCCGGGAACGATTCCACGGAGTACCTATTATGGCCCTCACAGCAACTGCTACCATGAGGTATGTCCGTCAGATTGAATGCATTATCCCCTGCTTGATTAGGACCTTGCCGTTCGGTACTTGCGTTATTATGGCTCTAGTGTTCAAACAGATATTATACGCAACCTCAGGATGTCCGAAGAAAGACTGTTTACCGCTTCACACCCCTTTAATCGCGCCAACTTATTCTATGACATCAAATACACTGCGGCGCTTGACTCCCTATCTCGTATGTCAGCCGTATACGATTTCGTAATGACCCTACACCGTCGTCGGGCCCGGCCGAGCTCTGGGATCATCTACTGTCGTACCCGCGCGGCGTGTGATGAACTATCGGCCTTTCTAAGGGGAAAAGGAATCAGCGCCAGGCCATATCATCGCGGAATTAAGTGCGTATGAGGCGATTCTAAAGCGAGGTCCCTGATGCGATTATGCTTGTAAAGATCTCACATGCTTGATAAGACGTTGAGCGAATGGGAAGCGGGTGGAAATGGTGATGGTGGTGTTGACGTGGTGTGTTCTCTCTGTTTTGTCAATCGTCTCTTCTAAAATGTTGCTTAGGTGTGCGCAACCATCGCTTTCGGAATGGGGATTGATAAAAGTGATGTTCGGTCAGCCCTCTCTACTTGAGAGTCTGCGTGATACTGACGCTGATAACTAAGTTATATTATTCACTACGATCTTCCGAAAAGCTTCGAAGGTGCGTGTCGTTCATAAAATACTGTGCGGAGTATCATTAACCCGCAGCATATATCATGCTCAGGGTATTATCAAGAGACAGGTATAGCAGTACTATCTTAGTTCACCCATCTTATTTTAACGAGTTTTCCAAACAGGACGAGCAGGCCGCGATGGCTGCGTGAGTTTGTCTTTCGTGTAACTTTCTCTTGCTGATTATTTTCCTCTAGCCATCAAAATGCGTCCTCTATTACTGTAAGGTCATCATTGTTCGCTAACGGACACAACTGATACTCGAATACAACTTATAGCTCGTGAAGATGCCTTCCGCCTCCGCAAGCTAGTTTCTGATAGCCATGCTAAGAGACAACACGCAGCAAGCACCATGTACGGTCCGCAACCCAGTCAAAGATCTATTGACAGCTTCAGTGCAGTAAGTGACTTTTCTTTGCTGGCGTCAAAAAACTCATGAGATCCAGTTGATTAACTATGCGGAAAACGCAACTATGTGTCGACACGTGGTTGGTCTTATCCTTATCACTAGATTGGCTCGATCTAATCTGAATCAATTCAAGTCTATCTGCAAGTATTTTGGTGAAAAAATCGATACGAGCGACAAGGAGGTCGTCAAGAGCTACTGTGATAATATGTGTGATGTGCGTCTTCAGAGTTCCTTCTTCAGTGCAAACCGTGATAGAGTGCACCCTAGGTATGCAAATACCCTGATAAAGCCCTGCGCAGAAAACAGAATCTCTCATCAGAGGACCGCGTTGCCGCACTATCGCACTCGCGTTCCTTCAACGCGGATGCGTTCGAAGACGAAGCCGATGGTTCATGTCCAGCGCCTCAAAAGCCTCCTCCTGGTCAGTACAATCCTGGACAGGCGAGAAGTGTTGGGTTGAGAAGGCCCAACGCCTGTCCAGCAGGTCCGTCCATGAAGAAGGCAAAGCTAGAGGCACTGCCGCCTGCATTGAGTGAGCAATACGCGTTCCAATGTTGAATTCGAGTCCATCTGACACCATGATAGTCACGAAGCCTTATAGTTCTGTCGATACCTTAAGGAAGCCATTCAAAACACCATTTAGGGTGCCGTTCAAACAACCTCCTCAAGAAGCGCGTGCTATAGAGTCTTCGGATGCTCAGCAAACCACCCAAAAAGGTGAAGAACAAAATCACGGCAATGACGAGATTGAAGTCGTCGAGGTTTGCTTTAATTCTGCTCGACATCCGGGAGACGAGCTGCTGCAAGACGATGTCCTGGAAGAGGAACCTATGGACTTTGGGCAAGGTAGTGGTGTTTCCCTCGATGATGGTATGTCCGAACGTGAGCACATGAAGAAGCTTTAAATAACACTATCTTTCAGAACCTCAGATAGACCTGCCCGAGATTGATATTGAACTGGAAGCGATGATCTCCAAGAAAATACCCGTAAGTCGAAATCCTGCATAGCGCACTAAAATGATGAACGATATCGCTTAGGAACGAGCAAGGAAAGAAGTCTTCCGCACTATTAGACAGGCTTTACACAGAATTCTCCGCTGGGACGATAGCGATGAAGGGTTGTGGGTCAATCTGAGCAACGCTCCGTCCAATGCCGAAGCAAGGTACCTCTCATGTATTCACAAAGTGCCCATCCTGACGATTATCACCGACCTAGACATCTACTCTTGGCAGAAGCCGCTAAGCACATAGAGTACTCTGTGCACACAATGTCTGCCACGGAGTCTGGTTACAACCAGAGAGCAACGGCAAAATTGCATGTGGTCAAGCTCATGGAGCACAGGGAAAGCCTTTGGCCGATCGACGCGGCTCATTATGATGATGATGAAGAGGAAGCTATTGAGATGATAGGATTGTTGAGGAACATCTGCAGTGGCTGGAGAAAGGCTGGTAAAAGAAAAGCCCCGTGATCTTTATCTCTCGCCTGTATGGGCTTGGAGAACACGCGATGATTCCACAGTGATAAAACAGAGATCGTACCATACCCGTAGTTTCCTCGATCTAGCAAGGCCTGGTATAGAGTCGATCTTCACAAGTAGTCGCCTCACATTCAGCGCCGGCAGGCCCACTTCCCCAACGCCCAGCGTTGAAATGGAAAGATAAACCAGACTTAATAACCGGTCGTCGCATTAGAATCTTTTCGCTCAAGCTGTGATACTGCGTAGGGTAGCTGTATCCAAGTGATGTCAATGAACACAGAGACTCCGTGTAACAAATGTGAGCTAGTACCGGGTTAACACATGTGGAAAATGCCAGGCTGCACTTTTCTGCGCGGTAACTCTCCGCCGGACTCAACACGTCGATTTTCGAATAAAAATAAAAATGGTAGATGTTGTACTTTCGATGTCAGGCTATCGAACTGCCAAAGAACCAATTTTTATGTTTGTGAATATTGTGGAGTAATAGACGTTTCCCCAAAAATGCACAAACTCTAGTGGACATCTAGGATACTAGGATTGTTAATTAAAACCTTGTTGAATTTCAAACGACACCCGGTATCACACCTTCCGAAAGTTCTAACATATATAAGTATGTATGTCGATCCGTATCCTCTTTCCCCCCTTTCGCAATAATGTCCTCGTGGACCCCAGTTTGTCATGTGCGCTGGAGGTGTCAGAAGAGACTCCTATTGAAGATGTCATCTTCCAGTTGCATCAGCAACTGACCACCGCATACAACGAGCTCATCAAGCCTTTTTCCTCGAACAAATTAGGACCACTTGATCTTCTCATAGCTAGTTGACGGGGACATGGATCGACAAAAACCCGTCTCAACACTCTTAATCCCGCAATCGGGCAAACCCCTCACCATGCATTTCAGCATTCCGCAAAGTCATACATTCCGCGTGGTTTTCAACAAGAACGAGGAAAATTTGGCGCAGTTGGAGGAAAACAAGGTGCAGACATTGTCAAAGTCTTCTCGACGCAAACGAAAAAAAGGTACCTAGTAGTTTCAATATCACGAGTCGCTTATGTACTCAACAATATGAATCGGTTCAGTGGCGAGCGGGTCAGCGGTCGACAATAATGCCTCGCTGCTCAAGGAGATGGATCGCATGCTCGATGAACTTACGGGCCAGATAAATGACCGTAAAGCTTCAATGACTAAACAGGTATGCATTAGTAGTAATTTGTGGGGCAATTAAACGAGCATCTTGAAGCTGACGAGATAACAGAACAACGAGCAAGCCAAGCGGATCAAAGACCTTGCAGAATTATTGGCTGCAAATGCAGAACTATCGGCTTCAGTCCAAAAGATGAACGCCACCCTGCAGCACGTAAGTGCTCAATTTCAATGCCATGTACTAGTTCCTACTGATTTTTATTCCAGCATTCCACCATGCTGGATGCTCTGCATCGTCGGGTCATACTCGATGACGCACGTGCGCTCATAGCCGATCGCTACGGTTTTCCCGTAAATGAACTTTGGTCGGCGCAGGAAGGGGTGGAATCTCTTGTATATTCACCTGCGGGTGACATAATCGCATCAGGCGGGTTCAATACAATTTGCATCTGGAATGCGAAGACCGGCGAGCCTGTCGTTGCCCCCACCAAAGACCTGTGATATCTCGCACACCGTCGTTTCAACTTGACCGCCGTCAGTGTGGTTCCGCGCATGATTCACTCAGCGCAAGAAAGGAAGGGATTATCCTCCCGACCATGCGCAGAGCCCACCGTTTTATGATCGCACTCTCCCCACCCACATAGATAAGCACAGATAGTCGAGACCTCTGGGAACAACTAATGCAGGGCCCAGGCTGGAGGCAAAAATCTCACGTTCGGTTTCCTGCATTCCAGCACTCCACCTGTAACATACTTACTGATG